ATCAGCCAGGTATTTAAAGGAGAAACAAAAAGACTTACACCAGACTTTGCAGTAGAGACATGGAAGCCAGGTGACGATGGAACAACATCTACAAAATGCTGAAAGAAAATAACTACCAACATAAAGTTCTATAACAATTAAAATTTTGTATGAAAGTGAAATAAAGCAAATCATCAAGAATTCATTGCCAGAAAGCATACAGTAAGGGAAATACTAAAAGAATATCTTCTGGCAGAGGTAAATTGATCCCAGATGGAAGCATAGAAATACAAGAGGTTTACTGACCCAGCAACAGTATAATTAAGATTGTTTTTAAGTTTTTGGTATTAAGTAATGAGTGCTTCTTGCCAATTTGCTTGTGTATCGCTTCAAAAGTTGGTTGAACCTACATTAGGTGGCCAGAAGATACAGATACTGAGAATACAAAAGGCTGACTATACTAAGAATATTGCTGAGTTCCTGGTGTGTGCATATATGAACATTATGATTAACAAACCAGATAAATGCCAAGATATAATTACATTTTATGTTGTAATCTAATCAACATGATACCAGTTCCTATCCTGCTTCTCACCAGACTGTCAGCAAACATACAATCCAATTCTCCTGACTTGTACTTCTACCATCATGTTTCACCTGTTTTGGTTGATTTTTATTGGAATAACACAAAAGAAGGAAGAGCACTAGAATAATAAAAAAAACTGACCAGAGCCAGCCTGAACCAAGATGGCGTTGAATCTGACCTCCAGGAGACCCGAACCTCATTATACCCTAATTATAATACATCAGCATGCTATCTGACACAGATAGCAAGTGCCATGACAGATCCAACTTGGACCATAAGGGAAGAAAAGGGATGGTGCCCCAGTTTGGGGAAGAGACCTGCCTATTCCTGGAAAACTAATGCATAGGACTCCCTCTCACTATGTGGCCCCCAGGCTTCTCTAGAATGAGAAATTGATCTGAGTTTAACTCCCACTTCTCCATTCTCTGGCCATTGAATTAAAGCTTGTGCCACAAGTAAGAAAAAAAAATAGATATACAAGAGGGAATGAAGCATGGAAATACAATAAAGAGCATACATATGTACGTAAATCTAATTAAATACTGAATCAGTAAAACAACAACAATAATGTCTTCTGAACATCCATCCACTCATCCATCCACCTATTTACCCACCCACTTATTCATCCCTTCACCCATCCATCCACCCACCCATCCATCCATCTATGCACCATCCACCCACCTACTCATTCACTCAACCATCCATCCATCCATTAACCCAACCATCCATTATCCACCCAGTCACCCATGTACTCATGCACCCATCTCATCTGTTAATCCATTTCACAAGTCTTGCTGTGCTGGTAGCAGGTGCTGGTGCTGTCCGGGAGCTCAGCCCTTCCTTGAGGTCCTGCTGCTCACGATCCTCCCTTCCTGTCCGCCCACCCTGTGGAGCGTAAGTCCCTGCATCAGATGAGCAGAGAGTCTTACAGGGACTGAATCGGACATACAACCCTGTGACTGTGAAAGTCAATTCCCTGTAATAGATCCATAGAAGGTGGATGGACTGGTTGGTGGATGAATGGATGGATGAATGGATGGATGTGTTGAGGGTAGCGGGTGGATGGATGGACAGACAGATATCCTGCTGGTTCTGCTTCTGTGGTTAAACCTACATTAGGTGGGCAGAAGAATCGAATAGTAGACCTGAGTTAGAGAACAGAATGTAGCAAAGGAGGGCTCTTCAGGTGGTGATCAGGAAAAGTTCACAGACCTCAAATGGAGTGAGTGGAGTCAGGAGCTGCCAGGATGCCTGGAAAGGTGCTCCAGGTGAGGGCCTTGGCGTGTTCCAGGCATGAGGCTGCTGGTGTGCTGAAGGAGGAGAGAAAGATGCTGGAGAAGGAGAGAGATGTAGGTGGAGGAGAGCAAGGGGCCCTCTAAGCTTTCATAGAACTCGGGCCTTTTTCTAAGGGCTGTGAA